CGGGCGGAGGCGCGGGCGGCCCCCCGCCCCCACCAGCGAGTCGGAGAAGGACTCGGGCTTCTCAGGTACGTGGGGCCGGGGGGCGCGAGGACCCGGCCGTGCCCAGCGGGGCCCTTTCCCTGAGCCCGGCGGGGGGACGGGACCAGGCGCTGCCACTGCAGACCCTGTGGAGGGGGCCGGGCCGGGCCAGGCCGTGCAGGACCCTGCGGGGCCCTCGCACCCTGCTCCTGCAGCGTCTCCCCTCGTCCCTGCGCGGGCTGGGCCCTGGTGGGCGCTGTGGTGCCAGCCTCCCCCTCGCTGCCCTACTGCTGGAGGAGAGCCTGGGGCAGGGGTGTCCCCGTGCCCCCTGCGGCAGGTCCCTGGGCCACCGTGTGGTGGCAGTGGACAGCCGGCGGGGGCAGTGCCCGGGGTGTTTGTGCAGAGCGGTGTTGGGCTTGCCTGCCCGCCCGGTCCTGGGGCAGAGAGGCTCCGCTGGTGACGGGCCCATGAGCTGAGACTGCAGAGGGGCAGGGGCTTGGTGGAGGGGGCCCTCTGCTCATAGCCCCCCAGCCCTGAGTGGGTGCAGGGGCTGGGGCTGTGCCCTTCCCCAGGAAAGCTGCGGGGGGCTGCCCTGGTCGTTCTGGGCGCTCGGGACCCAGAGCGGGGCTGGGCCCTGGTTCTTTGAGGCCGAGGGGTTGGTGAGACCAAGGTGAACGCTGGCCCCTGCGCCTGAGGGTGTGAGCCTGGCTCCACTGGGGGCCCTGGCAGTACAGCCCAGGCTGGGCCTGTCGCCGGTGCCCACCCACACCCCTCACTGCCCCGCTCTGGTCCTGTGCAGATGCCAGCTCCGAGTACCTGAGTACCCTGGACCAGACCGACACGGAGGAGTCGGCTGCCCAGCGCCTGCCCAAGCCTCCACGGCCGCGCCGAGCCCCAGGGTTCGGCTGCCCCTTCCCTAGCCTGGCCCCCATCTATATCGTCAAGAACGTGATCCTCAAGCAGGTAGCCCCGTGCCTCCTGGCCCGGCACCTCCCTTGCTGCTCAGAGCCTGGTGCCCAGCTGCTCACTCTCCTCTTGCTCTTGCTTGCAGCCGCTGGGAGGCTCGCCTGGCCCCCAGCTCCTGGCCTGGAGCCACCCCCCGCTGGATGCTGCGCAGAGCCAGGCCCGGCTCCTCTTCCTCCCACAGTCCATGCCCACAGCAGCTCTCAAGCCCCTGCGGCCCGGCCGGAAGCCACCAGCCAAGGACACCTACTTGCCCATCCTCAAAGCCTACCCCAAAATTGCCCCCCACCCGGACCGTGGCCGGGAGAGCAAGGCGGGGCCTGCACTGGCACCTGCAGCAGGGACCAGCAGCACCAGCCACAGCAAGACCAAGTGCTTGTGCCTGGAGGAGGCCTCGGTGCCACCCGTGCCTGACAGCAGCAGCCAGGAGCTGGCACCCTCAGCCGGCAGCCCACCGGCGCCACTGCCCCGGGACGTGGTGACTTCCTCCACAGAGTCAGGGGGCAGCCTTGCTGCTGTGGACCCTGCTGAGGGGAGGATGCTGTCTCGTGCCTCCAAGAAACTGGGCCCGAGCCTGGGGAAGCAGCGGCGCTTCCACAACACGGTGGAGATCCTGCGGCGCTCGGGGCTGTTGGGCATCACGCTGCGGACCAAGGAGCTGCTGCGGCAGAACAGCAGCACGCAGCGGGAGATTGCAGAGCTGCAGGAGCATGCGCGCCTGCTGTGTCAGGCTGTGCAGGGCAATGACGCCCAGGCCTGGGCCCGGCTCCAGGACGCCATCAGCCTTTCGCCTGCCTACGGGGCCAAGTGGGGCCGTGTGGGGCTCAGCCGCCCTGCTGCACTGGGGCCTGACTCCACGGCTGCTCCCACAGACTCACACCGGGAGCCCCCGCCCAGCTCACCCCCAGGCCTGGCACTGGCCCCGGCCCCGGACATGGTGCCTGCACCCCTGCCTTAGCCTGTGGCCACGCTCAGCAAATAAACCTGTTCCAACACCCAGTGGCTGTAGCTTCCCGCTATGGGTGCCAGGCCTAACCCTTCCTTTCCTGGGGGGGCATAAGGCTGTAGGGAGGGGGCCCTGTCGCCACTGAGGGGGTGCCCAGCTGCCTGCTCCAGCTGCCAGGGTGGGGAGGGGGCAGGGAGCCCCTGGGGCAGGGCCTGAGCTGGGGGCTGCTGCTGTGCCCCGGCCCGTGGGTGGGAGGGAGGGGCTGGACCTGTTTCTTGGCTTCACTGGGCACCTAGCGGGTGGGGCAGGGCAGGGCCAGGCCTCGCTCCTCCGAGCTGAGCGCGGGACCCACGTGGGCGGGGCCCAGCTGCAGGCGTCGCGCCCCGTGGAGACCTGC